ACTAATAATTATTTGTATTGATCCACCTTTTCACTTCACTCGGCAGAAAATCTTCCTACAAAAGAAATTATAAATACTAGCCTATGCTTCGGTGTAATTCACATATAACGGTGCCCCCCATTATTAAGTATTTTGTAGAGTTTTGGCATGTTTTTTAACCAAATTAGTTATAATTTAGCATTTTGAATTCTCATAGTTAGCAAATCTTAGCACAAAAATATCAACAATGGTCTACTCGTTTTTTCTCAGTGGGTGTCAATTTTTGCTACCAATAAATTTCGTGCCAAGGAAGCTATGTTTGCTCCATTAACATAAAATCGGAAGTAACTATATGTGAGATATATGTGAATTCGGACTAATATTGGAAGTTTAGTACGCTATGCAAAATCTTGGCTCTATCTATATATCGTTAGCTAAAATGCAAAAAGGCGTAACTAACAAAAGCGTAATTGTGTAGGAGAAGCAAACAACTGTTTTGAATGAAAACTATAAACATGTCAAATGAAGATTTTTCTAAGTTCACTTTTAATACACTGACAGATGTATACCTAAATAAAACAAAATTGTTTTTCAATTATTATTATTATAAACCCACTTGTAGTTACGTATTTTTGTTTTTTGTTAATAGAAGCTCCTTTTTGGACCGCAGACGCGTAAAACTTTTTCAACACATGTAGTTTATTGACATTCACAATATTCATTGAAAAAGTAAATTTTCAATATTTTGTAGTTACACCTTTTTGCATTTTAGCTAACGATTTGTGAGCTATATCTAAATCCGAGTCGATCAACCTGGACTAACAGCCTGTTTTTGTAAAATTCGAAACGAAACAATTCGAACGAAACCTTTATTTATGTAAAAAAATGTTTCTTGATTCAAAACAAAAATAAACGACATATTTTTCAAAACCAAGGAGTTTGGTCGTAAGTCAAAATTTTAAAAAAACAGGCTGTAAATTCAGTAGGCTGCGCAAAATCTTGGGTCTCTCTCGATTTGCCTTTTACAAACATATGCACAAAGACATAATAACCTTTACCACAGTTCAAAATCGGTTCAGATTTAGATATATCTCACATATGTAGTTTCGTCCGATTTTATGTAAATGGTGCACCAAACTTCCAATATTGGTCCGATTGAGACAAAATATTGTACCGAGTACTGAATTAGGTCTACACATTTTTCAAATGTTATTCAAAACATTTCAATTGCAATTCGAGAATTTCATTTGTAATTCGAGAACTCAAATTGCAATTCATAACATTTCACTTGTAATTCGAGTATGTAATTGGTAATTTACAACATTTCATTTGTAATGTTAAACTTTTCATATGAAATTCAAAAAAAATTCATTTGTAATTTAAAACTGTTCATTTGTAATTGCTATATTTCCATTTGAAATTTGTAGGGTTTCATTTGAAATTCAAAGAAATCCGTTTAAAATTCAAAGTATTCAACTTGAAATTTATAATATTTCACTTGTAATTCAGAATATTTCAGTTTTAATTCGAAACAATTCATTTCAAATTCATACACATTCATTGTGTGTTATCATTAATATTTTTCGAATTTAAAATGAAATGTTATGAAAAACAAATGAAGTGTTATGTATTTCCAATGAAATGTTAAGACTTTCAAGTGGAATTATTTAAATTTCAAATGGAATTTTATTAATATCAAATGGAATTTTATGAATTCAAATGCAATACTTGGAATTTAAAGTAAAAGTTTATGAATTTCAAATGAAATTCTATGAATTTCGAAAGGTATTCTATGAATTACAAATTAATTTCTCGAATTACAACAGATATGTCATGAATTGCAATTGGAATTCTCAAATTGCAAATTATATGTTGTGAATTTCGAATGAAATTATCAAATTGCATTTGAAATGTTTTGAATAACATAAGAAAAAGGTGTAGATTGATACATTGGTGACAATACTTCGTTGTGGATTTTCAAAAAATATTTTTTCAAGGACTAAACAATTTTTTTTGGGTCTATAAACAGACGAGGATTTTTACAAATATTTTTTGGGGTCTATAAACAGACGTGGATATTTAAAATATTTTTTTGGCGGGAGGTACCAGAAGGAGTGGATAAATGGGTCCCATCTTCAAACTTGATCTAGGCTTGGTAAAGATAATTGGTTGTGCAAAGTTTGGATCAAATCAGACTTTCATTTCGCCTGATATTGGTATTATAAATATTCAAAATTTTGACCCTCTATGGGGGAGGTACCAGAAGGAATGGACCGATGGGTCCCATCTTCAAACTTGATTTAGGCTTGGTAAAGATAATAGGCTGTACAAAGTTTCGTTAAAATCTATCCGTTTGCATGGTATTATAAAATAAATTTTTAGCACAATTTTTTGAATGAAATCGGTTGCTGCCTTCGAGAGTTATCGTGTGCACCAGCCAGCCAGACAGACGGACGGTCCTGTGTAAATCGATTCCAAATCTTCTGAAACGGATTTGGTGCAAAGAAAGTCATTAGCATAAAGGCTGAGGCTCTTCTAAGTGGTCATGTTTCTGTTTGCTATTTAACTAATATTTTATATATTTTCTCCAAATTTTGTAATCAATATTTTTTTATGTTTTGCATGCAATGTTATTTGTCGTTTGTATTTTGTGACTAGTGAGCAAAGCAGTATAGTCGGATGGGGCCGACCATATGATGCCCTACACAAATTCAATCTGACTTTCTGTGGTTCTATGTTCTGAGCAATGTTCTGAGCTTGAGCAATATTTAGCGATATTTGCACCCTCTTGACCGACTAGAGGTCAACAAATATTACTAATATTCAGTACAGCCCTTCTAATTACTTAACCAGATTCCCTTCACCGTGGGTTTTGTTGTGATGTTCGGCTTTCAAAAACACGGAAAATTGACTTTTCGGTCCACTACATTCCAATATTATTATCTGGTCATCACCGAAAATTATCGGTGTTGTCCTTGACCATAACTGGAACCTCATGGAAAATTTCAAAGCGATCAGCGCTATATTCCGCCCTCTAGTGTGGTAATTGTTTCCTAAACAATATATGAATACGTAAGCACCTGTAAATATGTAAGTGTATCTGCCACAACCGAGTACATACGACAATATAATTGGTATCAATTTAAAGGCCAACCACTCCTCTTTGATATACTGGTAACTTCTGGCGACTATGTCAAAATTTGTAATTTTTCACACAGGGTGCATTTGACCCGCTAAATATTGACTGATCTTAATCAAAACAGGCATGCTTATTATTTGGCCCGATCCCCTTCTCCATGTAAAAATTAGCGATGTTTGGACCATAATTACGGCCACTGGAACGACCAGAAAATCAGACACAAATAAAGTTTTTGGTCCATTTCACCGCCTATATATTAACCGATCTTCACCAAAAATAATAGGGGTCTTCATTGGCCAGAACCCATCATACATGCAAAATTTCATGAAGATTGGTCCATAACTGTATATATCATGTTTACAAATTATAATGGTCGAGATATGACGATTGATATACTTAAAGGTGGGCCTAGGACCATATTTCGCGGCGTTACAAACTCTTGGGGCTGCACAAAGCTATAATACCCTGACAACATAGTTGTGTAGGGTATAATACATTTTAAATTTAAGACCTAATATTTTTTTATAATTCTACAAAGTATTTGTATAATATATTTTTATGAAAATTGGCTGGAATTTCTTTGCATTATTTTTTTAAAGAAATTTTTTTTTATAAATTACAAAATTTTGGGGAAGTAATTGATATAATTTATATCAGTATATTTATACCCTACACAACTATGTTGTCAGGGTATTATAGCTTTGTGCAGCCCCAAATGTTTGTAACGCCGCGAAATATTGGTCCTAGACCCACCTTTAAGTATACCGATCGTCATATCTCGACTAGCTGAGTCGATCTAGACATGTGTGTCCGTCCGTCCGTCCGTCCATTATAATTTGTAAACACGATACAGGCCACAGTTATGGACCAATCTTCACGAAATTTTGCATGTAGGATGGGTTCTGGCCAATGAAGACCCCTATTGTTTTTGGAAAAGATCGGTTAATATTTAGGGGATGAAATGGACCAAATACTAAATTTTTGTCGGTTTTTCTGGTCGCTCCAGAGGCCGCAATTATGGCCCAAACACCGCGAATTTTTGCATGGAGAAGGGGATCGGGTCAGAGAATAAGCATGCATGTTTTGATAAAGATCGGTCAATATTTAGCGGCTCAAATGGACCCTGACTTTTGTGTGAAAAATGACAAAATTTGTATTCTATGGCATACATATTTACTCCTGGAGGATGTAGACCCCAGGAGTTGATAGCATATCCAAGAGGAGTGGTTGGCCTTTAAATTGATACCAAATATAGTGATGTATCTACTCAGATGTGGGAGTTACAGTCAAATATTTACAGGTGCTTACGTATTCAGATATTATTCAGTAACCCATTACCACATTAGAGGGAGAAATATCGCGCTGATGGCTTTGACATTTTTCATGAAGTTCCAGTTATGGTCAAGAACAACGCCTACAATTTTCGGTGATGATCAGATTAAAATTTTGGGATGAAATGGACCGAAAACATAATTTTTTGTGTGTTTTCGAGTAGAGCATAATCCGAAAATCACAACACAACCCACCGTAATCTGGACAAGTAATTAGAAGGACTGTACTGAATATTCGAAAAAAGTAAGGAAGAGGTGTTGTTAACCTGTAATCGGACAAGAGGGGGCAAATATCACGAAATATTACTCAGACTCGGAATAAACATCCTCAGATAGTTAGAGTTCGTGGTAGTTGTGTAGGGTATCGCATGGTCGGCCCCGTCCGACTATACTGCTCCGCTCACTGGTTTTAAATATGTATAACTCCTTAAATTATTGTTTTTTTTTTTTGTTATTTAATATAAACAATATTGTCGTTTTAGTTATTTAAATTTTACATAATTATTTTTATTTAGTTCTTCATATTATTTTAAAAGGAATTCAAACAGGAATTACAGCGACAAATTTTGACGTTTGCATTTAGCCCGGTGGTTTTTAAACCATAATTGTACATTTTTGGTTTGCAAGTGTGGAAACTTTTGTCTGTAATGATAGAGAAGAAAGAGGGAAAGATTGATTGTTTAGTAATATTTGTTAAAAAATTAAAAATAAAAAACTAAAAAACCTGAAGGAATTAAAAATAAAAACCTGAAGGAATTACCATCCGTCCTAAGTGGAGATTTTTAAAAATATTTTTTACCTTCTATACTAAGTGGGAATTTTTTATATATATTTTTTTCAAGGACTATCAAAAGAGAGCATTTTTTTAATATTTTTTTTTTTATAAAATTATCATAACGTGAATTTACTAAAAATATTCTTTCAAAGACTTTAAGAAACGGGAATATTTGAAGGAATTTTTCAAAAATTCAAAATGCATATCTATATCTATCTATATATATAAAAATGAATTGTTGTTCGTTAATTTTGCAAAAAGTATTTTGCAACATATTTGCATTTTTAATTTAATTTTTTTCAATTGGATTGACATTGTATTGAAACATTTTTTGGGCGAATACACAAATAATTAAGAAGTATATCATTGAATGTACAAGCGATCATTGTATGTACACGTTTTGCATAAAATGCACGTACATTTTCGGACTAATGCAAGGATGAAAAATCAGGATATGAATGATTCTAAGATGTATGCCCTAGATTAATTTGTTTGAAAATAATAATAAGAACATGTTGTTCCTTAAAGTACCTGAAATGTTGCTATGCCACGTGAAATATCAAATCAGGTGGTTATAAGTCTAATCGTTTATCAATATCTTTGAAGTTATAAACAGAACACCTCTCATATATCCGATACCAAAAATGTGCAAAAATCTATCATAGAGCTCAGCTGAAAAGAGAACAACTAACATAAAATCAGCAATATTAGAAAATATGTCTACGATATATTATCTACCTATCCAACTATTATTACTATCTATCCAACTACCGATAACACTCAGGTTGGAAACGGGAGTAAGAACTTCAACATACCGAAAATTGAACGGGAAATAATTATGGCGTATTTCTAAAACGTATGCATGCATAATTTCTGGGATGCTATTTTTTATTCACTGGAATCCGTTATCCCCAATTATAGCCAACTCTATGAAAAAATTCGGTCAATGTCTTTATAGAACCGAAAATGGGGCGGGACCTGTATTTATATGCTATATCAAAACTTGGTCCTAAATAGATAATTTTCCAATATTTTTCACCCCTAATATGACATATTTCATTATATAGACATTAGACATACAATGGGAATGGGGATTAATTAATTGTTGGTATGAAGATTTGACACCACATGAGGAAATATGGGGGATACCATTATATGGGTGCTACCCGGAAACTTGGATCAATATACTTTTAGTAAGTAAATTTTTGTACTCACTGTACATCTAAAATATAAAATAACATCCAATTTGGTTCTAACACGTGACAAAATCCCCCAAAATACAGAAGAGTGAACTGATATTGACAATTTTAGTAGGATTCATGCTACCAAATAAAACAACCAATTACAGCTGATTAGATTGAAAAACGTGTCCAAATCTCCAAAGTATCGTATAATGTGGAGTGCCATTATATGTGGAGTGCCATTTTCGGAAGCTTGGCCAAATTATGTTAGGATCATTTTCTACTCGATGATCATCCAAAATATAAAATTACAGCCAAATACCAAATGTACTTGGGCCAATATTGATACTTTTCTATAGATTTTCTGCTCAAGAACTATCCCCTATATTAAATTAAAAGCAATGCTGTTGAAAACCGTGCCCAAGATCTTCAAAATACCAAATGTTTAGGGCTACCATTATATAGGCGGTACCCCGAAACACGTGACAATATTGATAATATTTGGTACGGACAATTCTGCTCTAGTACAACCACTTCTGTTGAAAAAATCGTTAAAATTTCTCATACTGCGAGTTACCGTTATATGGGGATACCCTAAATAGTGAACTAAAATTGAACATTTTCAATACCAAATATCGTAGGATAGTAGCAATGTATGTGCAAATTTCAGAGCACTATCTTAAATCGTGGAGTGTAGCTTAATATTGGGCTATCTTGAATTATATTTGTAACTTATACATCAACAATAATGCTATGGAAGACAACTTTTGCCGGGCCCGCTAGTTTTTTATAAAAAAAATAAAAATTTATAAAAATCCAACTCACCTATAGGGCATTTTATTCAAATCGTCGGTATATTTTAAAATGAGACTATGAGATGGATGTGCATTAATAGCAAACCAATGTTCCATCTTTGGCACCTCAGTAACGGGATCGAACAATGTACGATCCCGTTTGCGTCGTTCTTCATTTGAAAAATCCGTCAAGTCATCGCCATACATAGTTGAATTTGCCTGCATTCCTGCAGCGCTGCCACCACTACTGCTGCAACCACCACTGCAGCCACCTACACCGCTGTCACCTCCACTGCAGCCACCTACATTGCTGTCACCACCACTGCTGTCACCACCACTGCAGCCACTTACACAGCTGTCACCACCCTGCGTGCCATCAAATCCACCACGCATTTCAGCACGTTTCAGGGCGGCCCGGGCATTTTTGAACCAGTATATCACATTTTTTAAATCCAATGGCTTGGAGCCACGGCGCGATCCCAAGGCATTCAGCTGCATCACATAGGCCTGCATCTGCTGCCTCGTTGGATGGGGATTCTCCTGAAACCATTGCTGAAGCTGCGGCAATTCGACATCGGGATCAAAAGTGGTGCGCTTACGTGTCCTTTCATTCGCAAATTCCGAATATGACAAACTGGCATTGCCCGCAGTTGAGGCGGCTTGAAAAGCAGCAGCGGCAGCTGCTGCTGCAACTGCGACCAGCGCTTCAGTGCCCATACTGTGTTCCATATTAGCCGGGTTTCTTTTTAAATCTTCGGCTATATCACCGCCGGAGAAAGCGAAGGGATTTTGATTTGAAATTTGTGAGAGGGTGACATGGAAGGAGATGGGGTGAAAAATGGGTTAGTTGGATGTTGAGAGTAATAAAAGATGATTATACAGATAATAATACATAATTTAAGATCTGACCGAACGTTTTTGAAAATTCGAACGTCGACAAAAACGTCGTATTTAAAAAAAAATGTACTCATTTTTGACAAATAATTCTTAGAGTCGATTTGAAAATTTTGTTGTAAGAGTATTTTGTGGAACTTTATCATAAGCTGGAATTTTCTAAAAATATTTTAGGATAAATATTAAATATTTTTTTGATATGTCTATCCTAAGCGTGGAGTTTTAAAAATATTTTTTGACTGTCTATCCTAAGCGTGGAGTTTTAAAAATATTTGGTGACTGTCTACCCTATGCGTGGATTTTTAAAAATATTTTTTGACTGTCTATCCTAAGCGTGGAGTTTTAAAAATATTTGGTGACTGTCTACCCTATGCGTGGATTTTTAAAAATATTTGTTGATTGTCTATCCTGAGCGTGGATTTTTCAAAATATTTTTTGGATAAGCGTGGATTTTTAAGCATATCTTTGTTTGACTGTCTACCCTAAGCGTGGCTTTTTAAAAATATTTGTAATTTAAGATCTGACCGAAAATTTTTGAAAATTCGAACGTCGACAAAAACGTCGTATTTAAAAAAAATGTACTCATTTTTTACAAATAATCCTTAGAGTCGATTTGAAAATTTTGTTGTAAGAGTATTTTATGGAACTTTATCATAAGCTGGAATTTTCTAAAAATATTTTAGGATAAATATTAAATATTTTTTTGACTTGTCTATCCTAAGCGTGGAGTTTTAAAAATATTTTTTGACTGTCTATCCTAAGCGTGGAGTTTTAAAAATATTTGGTGACTGTCTACCCTATGCGTGGATTTTTAAAAATATTTTTTGACTGTCTATCCTAAGCGTGGAGTTTTAAAAATGTTTGGTGACTGTCTACCCTATGCGTGGATTTTTAAAAATATTTGTTGATTGTCTATCCTGAGCGTGGATTTTTCAAAATATTTTTTGGATAAGCGTGGATTTTTAAGCATATCTTTGTTTGACTGTCTACCCTAAGCGTGGCTTTTTAAAAATATTTGTAATTTAAGATCTGACCGAAAATTTTTGAAAATTCGAACGTCGACAAAAACGTCGTATTTAAAAAAAATGTACTCATTTTTTACAAATAATCCTTAGAGTCGATTTGAAAATTTTGTTGTAAGAGTATTTTATGGAACTTTATCATAAGCTGGAATTTTCTAAAAATATTTTAGGATAAATATTAAATATTTTTTTGACTTGTCTATCCTAAGCGTGGAGTTTTAAAAATATTTTTTGACTGTCTATCCTAAGCGTGGAGTTTTAAAAATATTTGGTGACTGTCTACCCTATGCGTGGATTTTTAAAAATATTTTTTGACTGTCTATCCTAAGCGTGGAGTTTTAAAAATGTTTGGTGACTGTCTACCCTATGCGTGGATTTTTAAAAATATTTGTTGATTGTCTATCCTGATTGTTTGGATTGATTAAAAATATTTTCAAGGGCTACATAGGCGTGAATTTATTATAAATATAGTTAGACCTTCTACACTAAGTTTGAATATTTTAAAAATATCTTTTGACCCACTAACTTTGGTCTTTTAAATATTTCTGACCTATTACCTAGGCTCTGATTTTTGTTTCAATTTTTATTTGGCCTACTAAGCTTAGATTCATTTTTACAAATTCTTGGACCGTAGTTTTAGATTTGTTTAAATATTTTTTTTTTATATTTTAAAAAATATACTTTCTTTAATAAAATTCTTATCTCAAAGAAATATTAAAATTTTCCAATATCGTGCGCTCACGCCACACTTTTTGTTTTGGTTTTTTTATTTCGTGTATATCAGTTTAAGCCCACTTGAATATTTTTTGATTATTTTATAATCCCTTTTATTATCTATGCCATAGAGACAGACATTCTATAATTGATTATTTTTTGATTGTTATCTAAATTAAATATCAAGTGATCCACCTGCCTTAATTTTACATACATATCATTTTCAGTGTGAAGCAATTGTTTTATTTTATTCATTTGACGCCATAAACATTGATTCTTTAATACCGGAAGATTGTAAATCAGAGCATTTAGAAAAAAATACATGAATAATATCAATCAATTCATTTTTTTATAAACAAGAATCTTGCCTAAAGGGCCATGAGCGATTCCAAAAAGTTCATTACATGGACTACTGCAAAAGTTTAAAATCAACAGTATATCACTTAATTATATTATAAACAACATAATATACATTAAAATCCATGAACATCTGCATATTGAAGTAACTTTTTCTTGTAACATTTTAACGAAACATATTGAAGTAACTTTTTTTTGTAACATTTTAACGAAACACTGAATATTTTGAGAACCTGTGGCAAACTATTGAACACCCGAGCAACCCTTACATGAAAGACTTATCCAACAATGGGTACAAACGAGGCACTTGGGTTTGAGCATTTCTCACAGACCTACTGAATGAAAATAGTTCTACTACTGAGGAAGGAGTTTGGGTTTTGTAAACCTTATAGAAAAAAAGCATACATCTGATTTTAAGGAAATCATCAAACGAAGTACCAAGAAACTCTATGACATAAGGAGAAAAATGATCACGCAACTTAAGTACAAACACTTAACGTATTACTCTGTGGAATAAAAGCCTAAGTTTGCGCAGGACAACACCACAGCTGCCACCAAAAATCTTAACACAATACATAAAGTGAGACATAATCAGCGCATGTACTACCTGTATCCTAATACTTTTCGGCAGGACAACGTCCAAACAGTATAAGTTTCGTAAAAAAAAGTTTACCTTGGACACTAACGAATGAACATGCACATCAAACACCAAACCACTATCAAGCAACAATCCAAGACACATCATGGCGCATTAGAGTTGTACAGTTCACGAACGAACTAGTTCAAATGAACGATTCACTTAAAATACCGATTGAACTAGGTCTTACAAATTCGTTCTTTTTAGTTCATTTAAAGAACGAACTGGAATAATCGTTCCTTTTAGTTCAAATGTGAGCGTTTTACTGATCTAGTTCGATTTGGTCTAAATGGGTGCGACGCTCGAGTTTTATTTTGCATGTGATATTAACAGCGCTTTAATTTAGTAAACACAAATAAAAATATGTTGCCTATCATTTATGGCAAGTAATTATTCAATTATTTTGAAACTTTTCTTAAAAATCTACGCCCATTAGGTCCACATTTTCTTTGGAACCTTTTTTATTCCACCACTTTATCAATTCCTTTGAAACATTTATTTAAAAATTCACACATTATAGGTCCATAAAATGTTCTTAAATGTTTCTTTTTAATATCCTAGCCATATAGGTCCAACATGTTGTAATGTTTTACAAAATTGTAATATTGCTTTTATACACACAACCTATCAACTGAACGATTCGGAGAGCGAAGAACTTTTAAAAGAACGACCGAAGTAAAACGACAGCTGAATAAAAGAGCTTAATTACGAACGAACTAACTACGAACTTAATTACTGAACTAGAAGAAAGAACTAGTTCAGTCAAAAGAGCTGAACTATAAAGAGCGATTAGCTAACTGAACTAGATAGAACAAGTCTATAGAGCTTACAACATCTATAGGCGAACTATAGATGGAAACATTTATTGAATCCGCTCGCATGTTGCCAAAATACATAACTTTGGTTTTCTCGACATTTATTGAGAGCCAATTGGTAGACAACCACGTAACTAACAACCACGTAACTAACATATTAACAGTGAAATCAATCGAGGCCTGTAACACATCCATGAACACATATTCTCCTTTAAATAATATTTGTATATCATCTGCAAACGCAAATGAAATACAACTTCTACTATTAATACTACTGAACATACCATTAACATACATTACAAACAACGGGGGACCAAGAACAGACCCCTGAGGCACACCACTACTTACTGACAACATACTCCAAACACAATTCTTACAAGCAACATATTGTTTTCTGCCAAACAAATATGAAAAAATTAGCTTACATGCTGACGATGAAAAATTAAAGCATCGATACAATTTATCAACCAATATGTAATGACTGATTCTATCAAAAGCCTTCTCAAGGTCCAGTGACAATAACACTCCACAACCACCAGCACAAACCGTTTTCCTTACATTCTCAGTTAAGCCGATAAGCAGGGATGTCGTACTAAGATTACCCCTAAATCCATATTGGCTATCATGCAGCAGTGATAGCCAATGTGGATTTAGGCGTAATCGTAGTACGACATCCTTGCTTGTCGGCTTGTCAACAAATATACATGTGATGGGCCAGTAAATACCTACCTACTCAATTACCTCTAGCAATTTGCAAAACTTTTGAATTTAAAAAGTATTTAAGTTTTTTATTTATTGGTTTATATGTAAATATTTTTTTTTAAAGCAAAATAAATTCCCATTAATTGTTAGGGTCGTACCCAATTTATTGCGATCCGTACAAAAATACTCACCTTTATAGGGTTTGCAAGACGTCCGTATTACCCAAATACGCAAGGACTTTATTTGCATCTGTGCCAATAGAAAACGGCGAAAATTGATGAAAATATTTTTTTAATTGATCGAGAAATGTTTACATTTATAGAAAAACAAATTTTTCAATGACTGCAATTCTATTTTCAAAAAACCAAAATTCCAAAATTCAACTTAATATTTTTATACGCAATGCGTATTTGGGTAATATTCATTGAAATACATGTAATTAACTTTTGAGGTGAGGTACGACCCTAAATCATGGTAAACAAAGTGTTATATCACCAATTAATCACCTTGGTTGCCTATTGCATATTACTTTGGCGGAATCCCCTTTTGTTATTATTGTCATTCCAAAAATTGCCTTAAGTGATTTGA